GCTTTTGGTTATTCAATCATCCCCTTCACAAGTGCTGAGCATCAGCCAGGCCCCTTGCCAGGTGCTGAGAGTACAAGGCAGTAGAAGACAGGTGTCCCTGCAGAGGCCAGAAGGAGAGGAGGGAAGGAAGGCTTTTCTCTGAGAAGGGATGTGGCATCTACCTGAATCAAGGAGTGCAGGGGAACAGCAGGCTGCACGCCGGTGCCCTGGGCTGCCTCGTTTGGCCGGCAAGGCTTCTAGGGACCATTGCACCCCTCTAGGTGGGACACAGCTTTTCCAGTGCACCCCAGGCCTCCAACAGCAACCTGGCCCACCTCTGAGCAGGTTCCACTTCAGTTCCTGGGAAGGCAGCCACAGGAGAGGTAGGTGGGGCCGGGCACTGGAGGGCTGTGTGCTTCCCCCTTTTCATGTTGCTTGGGGTTTTCTGGCTACAAAAGGACTGCAGTTCATCTTCAGAACGTTCCCCTTTCCTCAATGTCTCTTCATCCACTAGGGGTCTCCCCATCACTGTGAACCGTGCTGGTGCAGAGGGAGAGCTGCCTTCATCTTTGGGGCCTTGGCCACGCAGCATTTTTTTTTTTTTTTTAAGAAGCCCACTTTTTCTTTTCTTTTTAGATTCACAGGCGTAAAATTACATTTCAACAAAAATAACCAAAACAATATCATATAGGGAAAAAAATACAAAAACTGCATGCTCACTGAATATGCCTATAAATGAAAAACCAAACCCGTTGCTGTTGAGTTGATTCCGACTCATAGTGACCCTATAGGACAGAGTAGAACTGCCCCATAGGGTTTCAAGGACCATCTGGTGGATTCAAACTGCTGACATTTTGGTTAGCAGCCATAGCTCTTAACCACTATGCTACCAGGGGAATATGCTTATAGATGATTAATATACAGAATTGCTGTACACTCAAATTTTTGTCTTTCTGCAATTATAACTAAAGGAAGTTATGAGGAAAACAATGATTCCCTATATTAAATGCCTGTGTGGACACTTTGAATATATCCATGTATGCCAACATTAATGTTTTTAACAAATTCAGTTTACTGATGACAATGCCACTTACAGGAGACAACATATATCTAAACTTTCTTTGTTGTCTTAATAACATCCTCAGTAGAGTGTCTCAGAGGTATGTTGACAGAAATAGAAGAGATTTTAAAATAATTTCAGCAAACTCAGCATATTCATTTTTAACACAGTGAACTAACTGATGCATCCTTTTCAAAATGCATCTTAAATCTCTCATTGGTAACAAGTTCCAGCAATTTATACTGTAAAATTATTGTCAATACCCAGCTGTTTCTTAAACCTCCCTTCCAATCCATACATCCACACATTCATGCATATATACACACATAACAAGCAACCATCAGACGCTCCTGGCTTGGGGCTCAGCTCTGCCATTTTCTGTGTTCTTTGGCAAATGCGGAGCCCTGGTGGGACATTGGTTGAGAGCTTGGCTGCTGATTTAAACGGCGGCGGTTCAAATCCACCAGCCGCTCTTTGGAAACACTATGGGGAAGGCCAACTCTGTCCCATAGGGTCGCTATGAATCGGAATTTGTTTTTGTTTGTTTGGGCAAGGGCATTGCGTCTCTGGGTGGATTCCTCAGCAGGGTCCGAGGTTAAGAGATAGGCTCAGAAACCCTGAAGCTACAATGCCAGCTCTTTGTCTTCCTGGGTGGACTTGGACAAGTTGCCCACCCTCTGCCCCACTATGTGTAAAATGGGAAAATAGCAACTGCCACTTAGGTTGTGTGGAGCAGTAGGTGACAAGGGTGAGGCACCCAGCATGGTGCCCGGTGCACAAAGGGGCTGAGAGCATGTTACCTATATGATGATCCTGGCCCCACCGCCTCCTCAAGTTGGTTGGGAGGATGGAGGCAGAGCTGGCTGAAAAAAATGCCAACTGCAAAACTCTAACAAGTATTTGTCATTACGGAATTTGTTAAGTCCACCACCCATCTGTGTGTCGTAGTGTGGTGGCTTGCGTGTAGCTATGATGCTGGAAGATATGCCTGGTATTTCAACTACCAGCAGGATCATTCATGGTGGACAGATTTCAGCAGACTTCCAGACTAAGAGACTGGGAAGAAAGGCCTGGTGATCTACTTCCAAAAATTAGTCAATGAGAACCATATGGATCACTACAGAACATTGTCCAATATAGTGCTGGAAGATGAGCCCCCTAGGGTGGAAGGCACTACACAGTATCCACAACAATGGACTCAAATGTACCAACGATCGTGGAAATGACACAGGACTGGGCAACTTTAGTTCTCTTGTACCTAAGGTTGCAATGAGCAGAGCTGACTCAACAGCAACTAACCACGATTTGTTAAGTAACAAAACACAGAAGGATGTACACTCTTCATGTCTTGTCTGCTCGTTGTCTTCATGGAGGGATACACTCCTTTGTCCTGACGAGGGAGGACAGCAGCAGTGGGAGCCTGCGGAGGTGGAGGCGGTCTACCTGGGAACCAGCTTAAGAAGAGGGTCCAATTTTGGCAAAACAATTGCACATGCGCCCCGTGGACCATTAGCTTCATGTGGGCCTCCTTGCTGTCTCACCCTGGACAAGTCACTACCTAAACGAATAATTTGTTTCATAAGGATTGACACAAAGCTGGTTCCTATGAGGCAGAGGTTAAAGATGTCCCAAATGTCCAACTTTTCCAAGCTGCTGTACCACTCCATCATCTCTTACATGCATTACTCCCTTCCGCCTCAGCACTCTCCCTCCCATCTTTAGGTTCCCTAATTTGCTGCAAATTCTCACAGAACTCACGAATAAAGGAAATGGCTCATATGGTTGTGGATGCTGGCAAGTCTCAAAATTCATGGATCAAGCATAGGCGTCTCCTGACCCACGTGGCCGCAGCAGCTGAGGAACCCAAACTGGTGGTTCAGACCACAAGCTGCTGACCCACAAGGCTGCCAAAGCTGGTGAGTCAGGCCACATGATAGGCCTCCGGCCCAAGGGCATGTGGAGGTTGGTGAATCCTAGAATTGGCAGGTCAGACAGCAGGCCTCTGGGGAGGTCAGCTGATGATGAACCAGATTTGGAATCCAGATGCAGAGAGAGAGAGACAGAGCCTCGCCAGGACACACACATATATCTTAGATGCAGGCCATACCCCAGGGAAGGGCGTAACTTTAGTAAGAGGGGCTTGAGTCACGCCCTTCTGCAAGGCTGTGACCCAAGACCCAACTTACACCAATCCTGCCTCATCAACGTATAGAAGTCAAGATCCACAACACAAAAATGGAGGACAACCACACAATACTGGGAATCATGGTGTAGCCAAGTAGACACATAACCCCAAAAATCACAGGTTCCATATACCTTATTTGCATTGTCCCTCTCAATCAATGTGTGTCAGTCACAAAGACCATGGCTAGAAGGGCCAGATTAAGTAATTCATTGCACTGCACTATTTCTCTGAGCAGCTTCCGTATCTGTCAAGTAAAGTACACTAGACCCTCTCTACTCAAAGTGTGGTCCCAGGACCAGCAGCACCGGCTGCCTGTGGGAGCTGGTTAGAAACAATTTTGGGCTCCACCCCAAACCCTCCGAATCGGCACTTGTGTTTTCACAAGATCCCCTAGATGACCTTGAAGCATTTTACCAGCATCTTGACTGTCCTCAGCCCCCAAGAATGTTCCCTGGGGCCTGCCCGAACCTATGGGTTGTGTTAGACTCTGGGTCCCAGATCCAGTGGGGAACACTGGGAGGGGCTGCTCTGTCTTCAGCACAGCTCTTTGTGCCTCTGCAGTCCACCATTGTACCGAGGGATGGTTCATGTAGCAACTCCTTCGTACTCCTCCTCAGGCTGGGTTCTCTAGAGAAGCAAAACCAGTAAGCGTATAAATATATATAGAGAAAGATTTATATCAAGGAGACGGCTCAAGCAATTGTAGAGGCTGGAACGTCCCAAGTTTGTGGATCAGGATAGAGGCCTCTCTGGATTCACGTAGCTGCAGGGGCTGGTGAACCCAAGATTGGCAGGTCGGGGAGAGCAGGGCTCCCGCTCACTGGCTGTGAAGATGGACCAATTCAAAGTTCAGCAGGTAAGCTGATAGCTCAAGTTCCAAAACCCAGAGGTCAGATGAACAGGAGGCGGCTAAGGATCCAGAGGGAGCCACAACCAGAAAGTCTGCTCATATTTAGATGCAGGCCACACCCCCAAGGAAACTCCATTTCAAATGATTGGCTGCTCACAGCAGATTCCATCATGGGAGTGATCACATATAAACACTGAGAATCATGGCCCAGCCAAGTTGATACACAATCTTAACCATCACAATGGGCCTTGAAACCAGGTACGGTCCCTGCCACGAAGAACTAGTCTAGAGAGACATGTGACTCCAAGGGGTAGGGGGAGAGCACAGTCCATGCAGCTGGACTTAAAGTGTCCCCCCGCCCCCACAGTGCCATGGGGCAGAGCAGGGGGCAGTGGACGCTGCCAGGGAGGATGCTGGAGGACTTGTCAGAGGACGTGATGCCTGACTGGGCTTTGAAGGATGGGCATGGTTTTTCCCGGCTGTAGGAGGCCCTGGGTGTGCACATGGTTAAGGGCTCAATTACTAGCTGACAGGTTGGTGGTTCAAACCCACCCAGAGGCACCTCAGAAGACAGGCCTGGTGATCTGCTTCTGAAAGGTCACACCCTTGAAAATCCTATGGGGATGTTGTATTCTGCACACATGGGGTCGCCATGAGTCGGAATTGACTCGATGGTAACTAACAACAAGAGAAGTAGGTACTCCTGGCAATAAACCTGCATCCACAAATGTCTAGGAGCAGCAAGGCCATGGCATTCAAGGAGGTACGTGGGGAGTGCCTGGTAAGTGCAGGACGGTGATAAGTGCTGGTGACCCAGAGGTGAATAGGCAGGGATGCTGGGGGAGGGGCACAGGAGGTTGGGGCTGGGGATGAGTCCGTGAGGGGAGGGGAGTCATTTGCTGTGGGCCGCACAGCCAGTTAGTGGTAGGGCTGGGCCTGTTCTGGAGCGTTGCTCCTCCTGGAAGACCCTGCAGATCCCCAGGAAGGGCTTGGAATGTCAGGCCTGGGTTTGTTCTTCTCAGTGGTCAGCCAAGGGGGTGGGACTGGGCTGAGGGTGGTGCTGCTGGCAAGAGAGCTTTCGAAAGTGTGTGTTTAACCTCAGCTATTGTGAGGTGTGGCTTTGGGTTTCCTTTCCGGGGTTTGAGCATATGTGGAAGTGGAGAGAATGCATCTGGTGACTTCACAAACACTTGGACACTCAGGCTGGTGTCTCGGTCCACACACCTAAGAACAGCCGGATCTTACTCAAACTTTGCAAGGGGACAGTTCCTTGGTAAGCTGGGGGGTAGGGTGAGATGAGGAGAGTTATGACCACCCATCTCATCCCCACAACTCTGTAAGAAAAGGATTATCATCATCCTTTTTTAGAGGAGGAAAAATCAAAGCAGAGCCTCGGTAATGGGCCCGAGGTCAACAGCTACCTCATGGCAGAGTCCAGATTTGAACCCAGGTTTTCTGCCCCCTCCCTCCCCGTGTGCCCATGAGCAGTGGTAGATGGAGGCCAGCTCAGACAGGTTACAAAGCTCCCCTGGACTCAGCATGGGTTCCCAGCTGCCTGAGACCTGGCCAGTTGACCCCAGAAGGAAGGTAAGTGCTGGTGCATCTGACCCTTTGGGCACTTTGGAGGAAGCAGAGGAGGGGGAGAAGGGGTGGTGCTGCTGAGGCCTGACGGGGGCAAAGGATTTCTTTGAGGTACAAGGAATCCAGAGGTTGTTCCACCTACCCTGTCTGAGAACCTGCTCTGTGCCTGGCTCTTTGGGGGAAACTGAGGCCCTGAGAGGGCAGGGACTGGGCCAGAGTGCCTTGCCCACATGATGAGAGGCCGAGCAGGGAGATGGCAGGACTCCAGCCCCTGCACCCCACAAGCCCCCTGTTCAGGCCTGCCGGATGAGGGGAAAAGAGAGAGGAAGTCCTGTGTGTCTGGAATCAAAAGATGGCACAGACATAGGGCATGAGGAGGGCATGTTGTGGAATGGTATCCACAGTGCCCTCCAGGCTTTGTGATCTTAAAATAAAAGACCAAACTGCACATGTGTGAGTATAATCTGTGCTTAGATCTGTGTGTTTGTAGAAGCAGAGACAAACCTGGAAGGCACAGACCAAGCTGTTACCAGAGGTAACAATGTCTGTGGGGACAGAGTAGAGTTTCACTTGTTACTTTAGAAATTTTATCTTAAATCCCAGAGTCAGAAGGCCTGGTGTTGGCATCCACTCAGCCCACCGAGAGCTGTGTGAGCCTGGGTAAATCACTTTCCCTCTCTGCGCCTCAGTTCTTCAGCTGATAATGGGGTTAGAGTTCTCTGCTCTGCTGACCCCATGGCCAACTTCTGGCAATGCCTGGGCAGTGGGAGTGAGGGGGAAGTAGGGGTCGTGGGGAACTGGGGTAAACTAGAAGCACCCTCAGGTGCAGATGAGGGTTGCTGGGTAAAGTGTGGGCCTAATTTACCAGATGTCTCATTTTAAGAGGTTCTCAGAATTATAGATTATCTGGTATAAAAGTGTCTAAATTTTACATGTTGACAACCAAATGAAAAAATTTAAACCTTGCATACGGCTTCCCTTCTCCTTCCCCTCTCTGTCCTGCTCTTCCTCCTTTGCCCCTCTCCTCCTCCCCACAACACACTGGGGAGACCTAGCTAGGGGGAGTCTCGCATTTTCACTTCTCTGTTACAGGCTACTCCCAGTTTCCACTTGTCCTTTAGTCGATCCTGACTTAGGGCAACGCCATGTGTCTCAGAGTCGAACTGTGCTCCACAGGGTTTTCAATGGCTGATTTTTCAGACATAGATCACCAGGCCTTTCTTCCAAGGCACCTCTGTGTTGACTTGAACCTCCAACCTTTCGGTCACCAGCTGTGTGTTTAACCATTTGTGCCACCCAGGGACTCCTACAGGCTTCTAAGGGTGTCTTATTATATGCTGCTTCTTATTCCTCATTTTTTTTAACAGCTCCAGAGTATTCCCTAGTACTAAAGGACCCTAATGGGCCTATCTGCTCCCTTGTTGTTGTGTGTGTCATCTAGCTGATTTCGACTCACAGTGACCCTATATGACACAGTAGAAGTGCCTCATAGGGTTTCCTAGGCTGTAATCTTTAGGGAAACAGACTGCCACATTTTTCTCCTGCGGAGTGGCTAGTGGGTTCAAACTGCTGACCTTTGGGTTAGCAGCCCAGTGCTTAAGCATTGCACCACCAGGGCTCCTCATCTACTCCCTTAAGAGTGGACATTTAGTTATGTCCCTCTCTGTTGGTGCTAAATACAACGCTGCACTAAACATCCTAAAATCCATGTGCTTGCACACTTAGCCTGTGGTCTCTGTCACTTAGAGACCTAGGAGTGGTTGTTGGGCAGAGAGTAGGCACTTGTTAGGATTTGTGGGCTTGATCTTGCTAGGTTATGCTCCAAAACTCTGAAACCTTTTATACTCTCCTGTCTACAGGGAATGAGGGAGTGCTGCCCATCCCCTCGCCAACTGGACATCAAGTGTCCTTTTAGGTTTCAAAAATGTGTCTCTTTGTATTAACTTGCATTTTTTGAATTTCGAGTGAAAATGAGTATCTATTCATGTGTTTACTGTTCATTTGTGTTTCTTCTGGGAATTATCAGTTTATATCTCTTACCTACGTTTTAAAAATTGGTTTCCGTCTTTGCATGTTGGTTTGTGGGATCTTTGCGTCCAGTGGATATTCACCTTTTGCCTATTATGAGCTTTTCCAATGTTTTCTCCTGGTTATTGTAATCTGGTTTTGTTGGTGGTGCCCTTCGCAATTTTTATTTTGAAGAGCTCAGATCTGTCACATTTTCCCTTTATGGCTTCTGGGATTTGTGCCTTTGTTAGAAAGGTTTCCCCAACTCAACGTTATTTTTATCGTTTCTTCCAGTACGTTTGTGAATTTTTTCTTTCTGGTTTACATTTTGAGCTTTAATTTCTTTAGGTGTTTTTTTTCTTTTTTTTTTGGAGAAGACTCTTTTAAAAAAAAAGTAAGACGCATTTAGTGAGTACCTACTAGAAAGAAAAAGGAACAAGACTTCTTTTATGCCTTTAAAGGAGCCTCCAGTACAGTAGGGAAAGGACATCCACCCTCTCCCCCAAAAAGTTCCTGCAAGCAATTAGTGACTGAGAATGGGATGAAACTGAAGGGACCTGAGACCCTGACCTGGACCTGAGCCCCAAGGCCCCAATGAAAGGGGAAGCTTTGGAATATTGAATATTCAAATTTTAGCTGAGATCCATATCTTCCCACAATTCTCTCTTCCTCTTCATATGAAATATCAGGCCTGGAGGAAGGTGACACAAGGAAATAAATGGAAAGACTTAGAAAAAAATTGTTGTTTGTTGTTGGTTGCTAATGAGCTGATTCTGACTCATGGTGACTCGTGATAGAGCTGTCAAAAGTACATTAGAATGGAAAGGGAAGAGGCCCTGGGTAAGTAAAGACTAGTGAAGAAGAAGAAGAAAGTAGGATGACTTGCACTACCTGATCTCAGAACCTACTATACAGCTATGGTAGTCAAAACAGCCTGGTACTGGTACAACACATAAATTGACCAATGAAACAGAATTGAGAACCCAGATGTAAATTCATCCACCTACGGTCACCTGATCTTCGACAAGGGCCCAAAGTCCAACAAATGGGAAAAGACAATCTTTTTAACAAATAGAGCTGGAAAAACTGGATGTCCATCTGCAAAAATGAAACAGGACCCATACCTCACACCATACACAAAAACTAATTCAAAATGGATCAAAGACCTAAATATAAAACCAAAAACTATAAAGATCACAGAAGTAAAAATAGGATCAACGCTAGAGGCCCTAATACACAACATTAACAGGGTAAAAACCATAACTAACAACACACAAAATCCAGAAGATAAGCTAGATAACTGGGATCTTCTAAAAATTAAACACTTATGCTCATCAGAAGACTTCACCAAAAGAGTAAAAAGAGAACCTACAGACTGGGAAAAAATTTTGGCTTATGAAAAATCTGACAAAGGTCTAATCTCTAAAATCTACAGGAAAATCCAACACCTCTACAACAAACAGACAAATATTCCAATTAAAAAGTGGGCAAGGGAAATGAACAGACACTTCATCAAAGAAGACATTCAGTGGCTGACATATGAGGAAATGCTCACTATCACTAGCCATCAGTAATGCAAATCAAACCCACAATGAGATAGCATCTCACCCTGGCATTACTGGCACAAATCAAAACACAGAAAATAACAAACGTTGGAGAGGCTGCGGGGAGATTGGAACTCTTATGCACTGCTGGTGGGAATGCGAAATGGTACAACCATTTTGGGAAACCATATGACCCTTCCTCAGAAAGCTAGAAATAGAAATATCATATGATCCAGCAATTCCACTCCTAGGAATATATCCTAGAGAAATAAGAGATGTCACACAAATAGACATATGCACACCCATGTACATTGCAGCATTGTCCACAATAGCAGAAAAGATGGAAGCAACGTACATGCCCATCAACAGAAGAATGGATAAACAAACTATGGTACATACATACAATGGAGTATTATGCAATGATAAAGAACAATGATGAATCTGAAAAGCATCTCACCACATGGATAAATCTGGAGGGCATTATGCTGAGGGAAATAAGTCAATCACAAAAGGACAAATATTGTATGAGATCACTACTATAAAAACTCATGAAAAGGTTTACACACAAAAAGAAACAATCTTTGATGGTTATGAGGGAGGCCAGGGGTGGTGATGGAAAAACACTAAATAGACAGTAGATAAGTGGTAACTGGTGAAGGGTAAGACTGTACACAATACTGGGGAAGCCAGCGCACCTTGTCCAAGGCAAGGTCATGGAAGCTCCACAGACACATTCAAACTCCCTGAGGGACCAGATTACTGGGCTGAGGGCTGTGGGGAGCATGGTCTCAGGGAACATCTAGCTCAATTGGCATAACATTGTTTATAAAGAAAATGTTCTACATTCTACTTTGGTGAGTATCGGCTGGGGTCTTAAAAGCTTGTGAGCAGACATTTAAGATAGTCTACTGGTCTCACCCCATCTGGAGCAAGTGGGAATGAAGAAAACCTAAGATACAAGGGAAAGATTGCTCTAAAGGACTAATGGACCACAACTATCACTGCCTCCACCAGACTGAGTCCAGCACAAATAGATGGTGCCTGGCTACCACCACTGACTGTGCTGACAGGGATCACAACAGAGGGTCCCAGACAGAGCTGGAGAAAAATGTAGAACAAAATTCTAAGTCACAAAAACAGACCAGACTTACTGGCCTGACAGAGACTGGAGAAACCCTGAGAGTGTGGCCCCCAGACACACTTTTATCTCAGTAATGAAGTCACTCCTGAGGTTCACCCTTCAGCCAAAGATTAGATAGGCCCATAAAACAAAATGAGACTAATGGGGCACACCAGCTCAGGGGCAAGGACTAGAAGGCAGGAGAGGACAGGAAAGCTGGTAATAGGGAACCCAAGGTCAAGAAGGGGAGTGTTGACATATCGTGGGTTTGGTAACCAATGTCACAAAACAATATGTGTACTAATAATTTAATGAGAAGCTAGTTTGTTCTGTAA